GACTCCGCCCTTCTTCCGCCGACACGCGCATATGGCGAAGTGCGTACGACGTTATCATTGAAATCAGTAACGTGAGTTATAGGTGTCAGGATGATTTGCGACGCAAAATTGCGGGATTGCGAAAGCGACAGAGAAATGGGTGTGGTTTATAAGGGTACGTTCTGCCAGAGTTAAAATGAACATCACGTGTTATTTGATTTGAGCAGATAACAACGGAAAATTGATCATTCAACTGACAGTAGAAATACAAATGAAGAAAGGAAAAAACATTATATCAACGCTGATCCAAGTGTTGAGTAGTGATTGGGTATCAGATATTAAATGATACTGGCGAGTGGTTAGAAGTTAGCGAAATTTAAAATAGCATTGTTAGGAAATAGCAATTTGCACTATTGTTACTGCCTTTAAACGCATGTTTCCGTTATTATTTTGCAACGCGACCAACTCAGTTGATAACTGATCATGTTATTAGGAGTGGATGAACAAGGAATGTGTAAGAGCACTGCATGGGTCAGGTATCGGTATGCAATTTTACCGTTTTCTATCGTCGTTCACAATTGCTTACTGTTTGCATTCCACTACACGTATAATCTCATGTTTGTCGTCGTTCATGTCGATATTTCTGTCGAGATGGGATAAAAAACGAAACAAGCTTATCATGAATTTATAAACCTGAAATACAACATTACCATAAACCCTCATGAAAGTGACAATTAAAAAGCCGGAAAATTGCTAAATTTAACAAAAAAATAGCCGCATCATATTGATTATGTTTCATTATTTCATTATTCATAAACATTCCAGAGTTATCAGATCCATTTACCGATAAACGCGCATTGTAGTTCATAGAATGAAGTGTGTGTGTGTGTGTGTGAATGTTAATTCTTCCATCCAACAATCGACTGTGAATCTTGATTATGAATTAATGCACTATCCCAATGCGTAACTATTTCAAGAGTATATTACATGGTTCCTTGTTGGTTTTATCTCGACTACTTCGGCTTTATTAATCTTCATCAATTCTTGAGTAATTAATTACATATTGAATATTTATTTGTTAATTTAACAATGCATATGTTAATTTTGGGGTTGTGCCAGTGCTCCAATTAATAGAATGACGCAATTGGTGGGCGTTTAATCGGGTGACCGACAATTGGATCCCGACAAGTGTGACCGACTGCCACGGGGCCAACTGTCACGGGTGCAATTATGGTTAGCTCGGTGACTGGTCGCACCTCGACAATTATTACCCTGGATGGAGTTAACCGGTTATTTCGATGCTAACTTTTTTTTGATGAAGTGGTGGGGAACTGTAAACGATGTGTTTTTATAGGGAAGCTTTAGAGATCGTATAAACCTGAACCTAAGTCTAAATCCGAGCAACAGCCTAAGCTTGAACCGAAACATGAAACTATGTGGAACCGTAAGATTAAGCTTGAGCTAAGTAAGCCTAAGTCTGTACCCACCCAATCAAGGGTGGTGCAATTCCCAGTGTTGATCTTTTTCAAATTGTACTGAAAGCGGAAATTTGCCAACTGGTGAACGAGAGCGTAGATATAAATTGTCGCATTACTTTGCGTTTGCTGACGTAATGTGAGTTTTACTGGAGCAGAGCATAATAACGTTTCATCGCAAAAATTACCTTGAATTATGGACGAAGTCGGCATTTCAATGATTCGCCACTGATTTTTTTCCGTACTATTGTTGATTCTTTTTCATGGTATTGTTCAAAGGTGATAAAAATAATAATATTGTGATAGGCACTTGAAGCATAACGTCCTGATGTGAGCTGATAATGTTTTCGTGAGCAATTAAATAGTTAGTCATTTTTGAAGTGACATGTTAAACGTGGTTCATTTCAGTTGATTTAAGAGCTGTTATGTTCTATCATATTCCTCTGGACCATGAAATCTGCCTACACCCCAAATATTTCGGTCCAGACCTCCTGGAGACAGTGAAACGTAAACTTTTCAATGAAGTTGAAGGCACATGTACCGGTAAATATGGCTTTGTAATTGCTGTCACAACGATCGATAATATTGGATCAGGACTTATTCAACCTGGTAAGTGTCATTGTGTTCACATATTTTTTTCCACATATGTCGGTTTGATTGATGGAAATCACATCGACACTTTGGATTCTGTATAGCAAGGGATTTCATGTATTTCATTATTCAGTCTTATTTCACCGCTGCTTTCAGCATGCTGAATCACTGCAAATGGTGTTTTGTAACTCTAACTTCACTTTTCAGGTCGGGGTTTTGTTGTGTATCCAGTCAAATACAGGGCCATTGTATTCAGACCCTTCAAAGGGCAGGTTGTCGATGCAGTGGTCAGTCAAGTTAATAAGGTGATTTTTGATAGTATTGGCAGAACTGCTCGATTGATTAACCGTAGGCGTTAATACAAGTGCTTGTATATCTAGCGGTAACAGAATAAGTGTGCTAGAAGAGCAAATATAAGTAATCACCAGCTTATGGCTATTGTAATGGTGATGAACGATGCTAACGATAAGGTTTCCGATAAAGTTTGTTCTTGTTAAGTGTTCAAAGCGAGAATCACATGATGTTATCTGAATGCAAATGTTTCATATTGAAGCAGTTTATGCTTGATTCATATCGCGAAGCATTTTAGATGCAAAAGTTAAATTTTATTCTTGATTCTGCAAGATTATTGGAAGATGTCACTATTGTTTTTGACTGTATTGTTGAAGGTTGGTATATTTTGTGATATTGGACCGATGTCGTGTTTCGTTTCGAGGCACTGTATTCCACCCGATATGGAGTTTGAACCAAACGCCAACCCACCATGTTACAAGACACAGGACGAGAGTGTTGTGATAAAACAGGATGACGAGATTCGTGTTAAACTCATCGGAACTCGTGTTGATGCAGCAGATATATTTGCAATCGGTACTTTAATGGACGATTACCTCGGCTTGTCGGCGAACGAGTAAACTGGAACTTCCCTCTGAACTAATTTGTATTCTAGTTACCTTTCGTAATTATGCAACTGTACCTATCATCAAATTATTATTATGTCATTGCTGCGTACGTGGTGTCGAATTAAGCTGTGTGAATTTGATTGTAGTAGCATGTTATGTCATGTGACCTCCAGAAAGATATATTCATTTATTTATTTTTAACATTTTTGAAAACTTTTCAGTATGGCTGAAATTTTTGTTTCGTAAGCAAGCAGTCAAACTGGGATACATTAATTCTGATTAATAAATCTCAAATCCAGGCACACATTTCATTTTTTTTATAGTGTAGAATAGCAAATGCCCACTGATCTCTAAATGCGTGATTTTCATAAATCATTGTTATAGTATTTGTACAAATTGTATGATATGAAGTGAACAAAAAGTGCTCTGTTATTCTCATTCTGAAACTACAACTTCGCATAAATATTGAACTGGGTGTGAGTTATTCAGCAAGCAGTACCCATCGTTTTGCTGAAAATGACTGTAAATCAACCGAAAAAAGCAAGAATATCGACAACAACGTGTGAAATGACAGATAGTATGAACTATATGATGCGTTGCAGCTATTCAGATGATCCCACAATGTTCCATAATTGCTAACTGTACGGTTTATTACCGTATATAAACGACAGTAATTGATGAGAATTCAGTACATTAAGAGTAAATAACGTGGATGTTTTTGGAGGATCATAAGGGAACGGTTATTGTGATGTGCATGAGTAATGGGAGAAATAAAGCGGTTGGAGGGATTATTTCGTAAATGATACATAATTATGAGCATCAATGTAGCATAGATATTGCTAACAACACCAGTTTTTTCCTGCTGATCACCGAAAATAATGATCCGCCGATAGATTGCGTATATAATTGAGTGCAAGTGTTTGTCTCACTCAGAGTGCTGTTTGCTTGAACGTCGATCATGAATTTTTGTCTGTGAATGACGGATCAGTCCAATTGATATCAGTTTGATTTCTCAACTTTGATTTTTTCATTCGTTAATGTTGGGAGTAGAAATGCTCCTGTTTCCGGATTGAGCTTCCGTTAAATGTGTTCTGTGAAATTTGATTATTCACGAAGTTGGTTCATGCTCGTATAGCTACGCGATTGGATTACTGTAATGCTCCGTTAATGAATAAATCGTAATTCGCTCAAATGAGAGCGCAACAACAAATTAACAACGTATACGCTAAATTCATGGAAGTCTGTAAACAAATTGATAAACGATCAAGTTCTTTTCCAGGAATCAGTGGTCATTGAACGCAATGATTATCCATTTGTAAGATTTTCGTTAATATTTTTTTGGATGAATGAAAACTTGAAGTATCTTTCCGAAAAATGCACGATTTAATAGTCAGCCAAATGAAACAAACACACTCTAATAGGCGCTCACTGAGCATTTCTTTCCAAAGGTTTCTGAAGCATTGGTTATCCATCTACAAATTAATTTCTAATTTCAAGCTCTTTTTCGAAATGTCTGCGATTCGAAGCAACTTTGGTTTTGAGCAGCAAGTGAACTAGACATTGAAATAATCCCTATGAAAATGAAATTTTTTATTCATCTCAGTTTGATGATTGGTATGCTATCGACGGTGATATTGATACGAACACAAGCAGAAACTATTATGACGTCTTCGAGCGGTGATTCCTGTATTGTGGACGTATGTTTTACGTTGGTTTTGATCGAAAATAGTCATCGAATTGATACTCGCTTTTAGTTCCACTTATGCACTTTCATAAATACGCATGAGGAATGGAACGGTTCATGCAACGTCTTTATCCCGGGATATGCAAGCGATTTCTTAAGGTTCGAAGACCATTCAAATGATTGTTTAACGCTAGAGTTATAATGCTGGTATTTTTCCACTTACCAATACTATAATACAAGCACCGTCCATCAACTTGTCGTCTGCCACGAATAACGATGATGCAAATTGAGAATCATTCATAGGAGTTAGGTTGATTTCACGCAACAGACTGGTTGATTTTTATTTTTGCACGTAAATTTTTGAAGCCAATAATTTCACTTTGGCTTCTGTATGATATTTATGATCAATAAATTCAAGTCGTTTAGGGTTGATTAGGATGCTATACTCTTGCAATTGGATCAGTTTAATTTGTGAAAGACTTGTCAGGATAGCTGCAAGTGAGTTTTTGAGATGAACGAACAACAGACGTATACGTATGGTGCAAGTGTCAGGACATAATGATGCTTATTATTAGCAATACTTCTAGAATGAATAGTAACTTATTCAGAACGGTCATCTTTACATAAACGGTGACGATGAAGGTATGCTTACACCTGAACAACAACAACAACTCGATGACTACCTTCGAGAAGTGGACAACTGGAGCGAGCAGTTAACGCAGAGTATTGCAGATGTATGTTAAATTCGAAATATTGCACATTCATCGACATCTTTTGGTGATCATTTCATTGTAGTTTTCACATTCAATATCCCAGTGAAATGTGCCATTCAAGTGGTCTGGATGGAACTTAACAAAGGTTTCTCCATTTACAAGCGGATTGAATACAGCCATTGAATTATTTTATTGTTGTTGAAGATAATACGTTTACATGCTTAAAATGTTCGGTTCATTTTGTTGAGAACGTATTGGCGTTCAATGCCATCTTCAGTGCAAACCAATCGATCATTGCAAAAGTAACGAATATCTGAAAATACGGAAAATTCCTCTATGTTAAGCATATTTTTTCGTCGTATGCGCATCACCAGATTTCATTTATTTAAACGCATCAGTTATTCAAATAATTTCAGTTCACCAGTAATTAATCGCCATAGCGAAAAACTGCTTTGAAGTGGCTGAATATCGAACTGATATCATCGAATCGTGATGACTGCTTTCGAATACTTTCCACTGCAGTTCAGGTGTTATCTAGTCATTTCAGAGCATCAAATTGAATGCAAATGTTCCGATCGTTCCACCAGTGCCGATGTTCAGAAATTCACCAGCTGGCACATATCCGCAAGGTTCAGATCTACTCCCTCTTCAAGCATTTCCCAAGGCACCTCCATTCTGCGAGCAGTGAATGCATATGATCGTGAATCATTCGATGATACAATCATTTTTTCTTTGTTTCAATAAACAGTGTACCGCTTTAATAAAGAACTCGATTAGAGTTTGAGATGCTAGAGGAATGTTTATCGTGTGCCTAATAAATTTCGCTGGTTGTTTACAAGGAGAGATGAAGTTGTTTTCGGAAATGTAACAAATCGTACGCACGAATCCACAGTCAGTCAACTAAACGGCTTCCATTAATAGTGATATGAGTGCGAAGCGGACAGATATTGTGATATTCTCTTAGTTTTTTGACATACGCTCATTGCTGGTTGAGATGAAGATCGGAAAGTTAGTTTGTATCGAATGCTACCATCACAATTCATGAAATTATTTTTCATTCACAAATACCATGAAAATCTTTTTTGTTTGTCCTTAACATGCTTCGTGCAACCGTCTGTTCAATTTAAGCGAAACTTCCCTTTCGCATAGCAATCATTTCAGTTATTTTCATATCACATCGCTCGGTAAAAATCGTGTCAATAAGCAGATCAGGAAAGAACTCTGCACTGTACTGCAACTAAGTACTTGAACAAACAATCACGAATTTCGTTCGTTAATGAATTAATGAATAAACAATGAGAGGAGATAGCATCGGAAACGAGGCAAGTTGCACATGAAATAGGCTGGAAATTGCACATGAAACCAGTCTAGACAAGCGTTGTCGAATCTAGACAAGCGTTCACGTGATCTCATCTCATCGCTATACTCTGAGCTGTTTGAGCGTTTTTTCTGGATTATCGATGAATTATCAATAGGCTGCAACAACTATCTGCCGAATGCATTAGCAGTTTCAGTCGATAATTCTGAGTGGGTTTGCCGGTAAATTTGAATATTGTTCATTCATAATAAGATTGCAGCTGGTCTCAATTTATCATTGTATTTCACTCACGTAACAAACCTAATAGGTTTGAACTTGTTTAGGTTTGGTACCTGACCTAAAATACTGATCCATCACAGTAAAAATATACGAATTTATTTAGCGACCCGTCATTTCACAAACTTCAATGTTTTCCAACCAGGTTGAAAATTCCTGGAACAATCTCACATGGGAAAAACTTTTGTCGTATTTTTGTTGCAGTCTGCAAGTCGAAAACAATTTGTAAGCAAAAATTTGCGGCATCCATGATTTCATTGCTGCTAAAGTCAACTTGAGCGTTCAACGTCTTCGCTTTCGTTTACAGTGAATGATTGTCGCGACGGAGCGCGAAAGAGAAGCGCGAGAGAGACGATTCGCAAGGGACACCAAAGTGATATGTGAAAACAACCTTAAATCTGTACTTAGCTGTATATGTNATATGAATGCTTTGTGTTTCGATATATAATGCAGTGTTAATACAAAATAAACGCCGAAATGGTGCGTCGACAAATTAAACGCCGAAAATGATTTTGTTTGAACGTGATTTGAAGTATCAATACTCATTGTTGTGTGGATATTTATTTGTTTAGTCATCGAACAATTATTTAAACTTTTCTAACGCGATAAATATTGTTTCAAGGTGACTGATAATGCGATTAAACTTTTGGTTAAGAAGCAGCCAAATGGATTGACAGAAACTACAGTTCCTGGTGACCATATTTATCAACAGGCCACATGCACTCACAACTGCTGGGAACATTCGGCACCGTATATGGTTGCCAGCCTTCTGATCCAACCTTTCGTCGTGAGAAGTGAACATCTTTGAACACTTGAACGCAACGTAATAAATCATGCACGCAACCCTGAAAATTCTTATTGATCAATGTGAAAAAATTATGAATTCTGAAAAGAGATGAATGAGAAAGGAATGCAGCCGAAACGAAGTGGAATGATTGATGACTTTTGATTGAAACAACATCAAGAGTAATCATGAAATGAAGTTGACATTACGCTTTCATCTTAATGAGTTGTTTAATTGAATAGTTTCACATGCACTTTTTTGACCAGATCATACTTACATTCCGATTATGGAAGAAACTTTTCAATAAGTGATTTAGTAATCAATGGATTCAAATATAATAAAACAAGTAAAAATAGTATCTATGATAACAATCAACGTTCGAATCACTTCAGATAATGCGTTTCGTTTGTAAGTCAAACGAAAAATACCAAATCATTTATTGTGATGTTGGTCAAGCAATCTCATTGCTGCGGTGACCCAAGAGAAGCAAAAAAAAANAAGAAAAATTATGTTTAGAAGTGGATGAAGGTGAGTTCAATTTGCACTGAATTGAATTCAGTTTTCATCACCATTGCTAGCCGAAATTCACGAATGTTTATTTGACGACAGTTTTAAAAAATAATCTCCATTCATTCTTATTTCTAAGTTTCGGTAACTGCATCAAATAGACTCATAATTAGACGCTAGTCATGTTCCCCATCCCTTCTCCCTCCCAGCCCCTCCCGAACAAAAATCTGGAACTTGATACTAGAAGGCGAGAAACAATCACGATAAATTAATTCCTCCGTTGTGACGAAACACACATGCACGGATTCCTTAAGGTTCATCTTTCTTCGGAACGCTGAAGCAGTTCATCGTTAATGGTTTTCTGCTTGCAACATGCGTGCGTTCTTTACTGCAGAGCTTTTTATTTCACTCAAAATGTCTCCTGAATGTCTACAGTGAGAATGATAAATTGTTGTACGTTCGAACACACTCTCATCTTATCAATCACTCGAGTCAGTTATTGCAAAACAATTTATGTCACATGAATAAGACACTGTCACAAGACGCTCATATAACTCTTAGGAAATATGCGACTTTATTTTGCGATAACTTTTGAGTGGTTAGTTTAATTAGAACAAAAATAATATCCATAATTTGTGGCTTGCATTCGTTGTAAACCAGTTGATAGAAGGGAAGGAAAGCATCGAAGTATTTGATGAGTTCATGCGAAAGACGTTAATCAAAGACGAAAACATTACGGTTGATCGATGTAGATTGACAGTAGAATTGTTGAGATTCTATGCCACGTGAATAAGGAGCATTTTGTATTGGAATGGCAATGGGCATTGAATCTTCAATCGAGCAATAACAACAGTACTTATAATACTACTCATTGCAACGAGCAAAATTTGAGCCACACAGGTAATCACCGACTCACGACTGCTGAACTTACGACGAGTCATATTAAGATGAAGAATTCACAAAATTCTTTTCATTGTTTACAGCAGTGAAGACTGGAATATTCCTCAAGCGAATCTTTTCCAAATGATAATGTGACATTTCAACCGCTTAAACTAACTATAGTTTTTTTTCCTGAGTTTTTTTAAAAGAATTCAGACTAAAGGTCTGAGATTCTTAAGAGCTCATTAAAATTATGCTGATCATATGTTATTCAAACACAGTTAAAAACGTTAAACGTTTATAGAGTGGAAGTTCGATTTATGAACGCTCAAAGTTGCGAACAATTCGGCTTACGAACTAACTTTTCGTAAAAACTTCTTTCAGTTTGGGAACATTTTTGATCAAAATTAACAAATTGTTATCGTAATCTCAAGCAAATTCAGATATACGGGATGATTCGTAAGGTTTTTTTTCCGTTTCTTTGGCAGCGTTCAATTTAGTGATCGGAATTCATCAAAATTTTCAGTTATTTTTGAGTTTTGACGCAATGTGTTTCCTAATTTTTCCTGGAAGGAAATTGCCTTACTAGTGAAAAGATGATCGAGCTCTCTGCAGCAGAACTGACGAGGAAGCGGTCAGCAACGAGGTTTCATCACGAGGATGAGCAGCCAGGCTTTAAAACTAGTGGGTCAAGGCTCAAGTGGAAAATTTTCAAAGATATCGAAGTCTATTAGATAATCTGACAGAGCGTTGTTCCGGAAATTCCTTATAGCGACAACTCCGATTCCAACTAAATGCGTTCTTCTCACATTTCTGTCACATTCTCAGCCGTAGATACAGTCTATCACTGGAACTTTTGATGTTCTACACTGTCAAAACAAATTTACACTATAAAAAATTGGGTCGGCTATGACTACTTCAAGTGATTACAATGGAAAGCGGTGCTTCAGTTTACGAACAACTTGTTCGATAGAACTTTGTTCGTAAATGAAACTCCCATGATCACTTTCTGGCAAGATGGGCTAATGTACGCTTAACTTGAAAGAGTGAGTGATTTGTGGTGGCTGATATCCGACACAGGACGAAACTTTCGAACTTATAGTTAGATTTTGAAATATAACAATTAATTCGAGCGAACTGGATGCGGACTTAAATAGACTGTTGGTGTTGGTCGAGGAAGGACGAATGTCAACTTCGGCGATGCTTTCATTTCAACGATACTATTTTGAGATTGAATTTCTGCTTCAAATTTTCGAATGAATAATTTCATCTCATTCTGGTTATGAAGGGGAACGATCAGTCAGTAAAATAGAAGCACGTTGTGGCCTTGTGAGCAATCCTCTCTTACTGTTTGCGTCTGTTTCTGGTTGTTTGTCAGCGTTGTTTCGAAATACGGCTCGTGATGAAAAGTTGGATTTATTTCCTGTTTCTTCCTTTAAGAACAGTGAGAACTCTCAATGGAATGAGGCATAATATTTATGAAGTTTGCATTCTAAACATCATTTGGATAGCTTGATGTGAGAAGATGAACAGAAGTTCTTAGTGACATATTCAACTTCAATGTGCTCAATTAAGAATAATTTGGTAGTTTAAGGTAAGTTTGGTGGTTTACTGATGGTCTAGTATCAGATAGTGTGGTCTAATTTTCAACAGTTGTTTTACCGACGCAATACCAAAGACTTCAAGTGTTCCCTTGAATTTTTAATAGCTCTTTAATTACAGCATGAATTTCTCTTTTAATGGCGTTATTTGATTGATATTTCCTGTATCTGTAGGTGAAATTTCGACACATTCGTTTCGCTCATTACTACAGGATCGTCGTACCCTCTTGGTATCTTCGCAGGGGCAAGAAGTTCATTTCCGCTGTTTAAAGTTATCAGTCATTGTTCCGTTATTTGCTATTCACTCCCAAAATGCCATCGTTCCCTGAACGCAGTTCTTTGCTTGTCGCATAACGGGAACAGTTCAAAGTTATTTCACTGTAACGCGATTATGAATGTGCCAATCATGATGAGTGCATAATTCCACTGTGCTACATGACTGAGCTGTGTAATGAGTCTACTTCTTCAACCAAAATTTTTTGTTTGTATGATCTCCGATGCACTCAAATTATGCTTGAAAACCACTCCTGACCGCACGCTTCTCGAGAATATCAAAATCGATCTTTTAAAATTTTGCTCCCATGATTGAACACTTTAGTAATACTTACAGATGATAAGAGCAATTGATTACTTTTCTTATGAAATTTTTTGAATAAGATTACGAACAAAGTACGTCCATAAGAAAATCAACTAAACTGCAAAGAACCACAAACTGAACACACCCAAAAATGACCGAATAACGGAACACTCAAACTCGAATCCAAAAACATTTCAAAATATGCTCACACAACAGTCATTCACTAATCAGATGTCCACGAAACGATAATCATTCGCATCATATTCAATAGCACATTCATATGACCATAACTGCTCATCGTAAACCCATTCGCGACCTCACTCACCAAGTTATGCTAGCGTCAGATAGNCCACAAATATTGGCTAGAACGACATGTTGAGGTAGAGGTACATATTGTAGGGTATATATTAAGCACAACTTAAATGTCTTTGAAATTCTGCACAGAAAGAAACATTTTATTTTTCATTATTCATTTTCATTTTGTTGTTATAGCATCGAAGTTGAACCGTGCTTGCGGACCCTTAATGTTTCATTCATTATAATCTTACTTGTTGACTAGAGACATTGGTATGATGCGTCGTCAATTAAAGGTGAATTGAACAAACAAACCTGTGGCCTTAGCGGTGAACGACCCTGTGAGCGTTCGAAATTAGCCACATTTCGACAACGAACCTCAACCATAAATGGAGGATCGTATTCTTCGGTGGGCGTATTCATATGTACAGTATTGCGACGTACCTCACATAATGCCTCATTCCGTTCCCGTTTCGTTGTGAGATCCTTAATAATTAAGATTAACGCTCGAATCGAGATTGAAATTCGTTTGCAAATGCTGCTTGCTGTTTCAGAATGAGTGAAACGCACATAAGAGTGTCCAAGTGATCGTACGCCCGAAGAGTCGTTAAAAAGAGCAACTGAATTGTAATCAGCTGCCATTACTTCATTTTCAATTATCAGCCCTTGTTGGTTCACACAAAACAATTGNTTTTTTTTGGAATGTGCGACAAATACTGAAATATATCGTCACAAACAGACTGATTCCAATGCTTTATCCTGACGACAGATCTCAGTGCACTACTTCTCTTTTTCCGAATGATATTCTGATTAAAAGTTGAGTTGGATGGAATGGTTGTGAGCGGAGTTTGAATGAATGATAAATGTGCGTTTGATTTTGGATTGATAAGCGACTGCTCGAGATAGAATCGAAAATAATTCACTTTAGCATGATGATGAGTTCGTCTACTCTTCTTATGCGATGTTGTATCGCTTTTGTGCTGTCTTCGAAGATTTTCGAAGATTTCATCAGTTTGTTTCATTGCAAACTCAGCAGCAGCCGATGTGCGATGCATCCATAATTTCATCCGTCGGCGTTGACGCTCAGAATGTCGCAGTCGATGGTAGGCAGATAACTCTGAATGCAAATATTATGCTTATATCTTCACGTTCAGTTACCCGCATCAGTGGTCGCTGATCAACGGACGCTGATTTGGGACCTTCAATTGTCTAGTGGAATGGATGGATGGTCAACTGTGAACAACGCACAACTTCACCATCATGAGTATCTTCCCAGGAAAATTCCCTAACGTAAGTAAACAATCTCAGTCAACCGTATTTCGCCCACTAGCCGTTGACTCTCAACCTCCTTATCATCTATTTTTGAATTCAGAATGCATTTCTGTCTCTTGAATCGTTACAAGTTCTACGAAATTATTTCATTGGATTTGTTCTCCATCCCAAAAACATTTCTCGTCAGCTCTGAAAAAGCTTTTCTTGAATGGATTATTTCATCTTCAGTTATATGATGACGAAAGGAACAATGCGCAAATGAATTCGTTTTCCTTGCAAAACGAAAGAAGAATTTCTTATCGAATTCATTGTGACTGCTTTCATAAGTGTTCACGTACACGTGTATTTTAAAGAAAAAAATCGCTGTTTAATCACCCCCCCCCCCGAAAAACGAAATATTTTTCATTTCTATA